GAAAATGTTATTTTATAAACATTAGTACCTCCCTTTTGGTAACTATGTATTTCTTAATCCAGTATTTGAAATTTCACACAATTCAAACCTGACCTTAATCCATCTTTACAAAAATATCCCCCACATGGACATAAGCAAATGACCTGTTTCTAGGCAGGCAGCAGTCCCTACCTAAACTGCACTTTCCCCATTCTCTCGTTCAAAAGTTTTAGCACTTCAAGCACCAAACCAAGGTCCAACTTTCCCTTTACTTAAATCACGCTCTGATAACTTAAATCGCTCTCTGATAACCTGACAAACACCTTCAGACACTCTTTTTACCCAACCTGATGTCAAATTCAAGATCAAGGATCAAGTCTTACACATCTCAGTATGTCTCACAGCAATAAGCACACGACTTGGCACTAAGTAGGCAGCCAAGAAATGTGTGCCCTGACAAGAATCATTATACAATGTGTCTAGGAAATGTCCCTAAAACAGGTAATAAATGCATCAGAACTTAACACCTAATTTGAATTGTTTACATTTATCAACAACTGTTTTGTCATAAACGGAAAAATTTCCTCCACAAAAGATTAAGCAAGATATGTATTAATCCACTTAAAATTTCGAAAGACGTTAACAAAAGAACTTACCAGAAAAGTTGCCATGAATGGCAAAGCTGATGCCAGTGGCTCGCTGCAAGGTTAAGTTGTACAGGAACATGGCTGCAGCAAATCTGAGCCAGCAAACCTAATCCACACCTCCAGGCCTTGCACACCAAGAGTACCGAATCCAAGCAAACTGAGGAAACAGAAAACAGAAAAATAGCTGGGAGACTGTTACTTCAACAGACATCTGTATGGGAAATTCTGGTTGTAGACAGCAGAACCAGTGGAATAAGAGTAAGAAACAATAGGCCAGGCGAGGTGACTCATGCCTGTGATCCCAGCTCCTCAGAAGGCTGAGGCAGGAGAATCACTTGAACCTGGGAGGTGGAGGTTGCAGTGAGCTGAGATCGTACCACTGCTCACACTTGTAATCCCAGCACTTTGGGAGGCTGAGGGAGGTGGAGCACATGGTCAGGAGTTCAAGATCAGCCTGGCCAACATGGTTAAACCCCTTCTCTACTAAAAATACAAAAATAAATGGCCGGGCACGGTGGCTCAAGCCTGTAATCCCAGCACTTTGGGAGGCCGAGGCGGGTGGATCACGAGGTCAAGAGATCGAGACCA